AAAGCAAGGATTTGATCAATTCTTCCATCCCTTTCCTAGCATTCATTGATTTTATGTTTGAAAATATTATTTTTTTATTTTTTATCTTTTTAAATTAAGCTACTAAAACTACTACTATACTACGCCATTAATTCTACTAACTATACTATTAAAAATAAGAATCTAGCTAACAATAAAAAGATAAGAAACTAACAATATACTAATATAATACTATAGAAAGAATAGAGAATCCTCCACCCCACACTTAAAAGAGTGCAGTGTCCTCAATGCACAAATAAAGTAAAAATAACAAGGGTGGACAAAAAACTCCGTGAAAGACCAAAGGCCGAAGCAATAGCAGCTCACGGGATACTCATACTTCTCCCATGGATGGTCCTTTGTACGGGTACCTCACACTAGGTCCAACCATCTAGCTCGCTTTTGCACACTTCCAGTGACTTTTCTTCCTTTGCTCATAATCCTACAAAATAAAAGAACACTACAAAAATAATAAAAATAATAAAATAAACAAAAATAAAAGAAAGCAGTAAAGTTGGGTTGCCTCCCAACAAGCGCCTAATTTAACGTCGCGGCATGACGTGAACCACTTTTTCCTCCACCTCGAACTTATGAATTTTACCCCTAACATGGTTTCAAGTTTTCTGCTATGCTCTTTTGGTGGGGCTACAAAGATAACCAAACCAAGTAATAAATTTTTTCCTCTGTACTTTTCGGCCTTTCGACATGAAGTGTAATTTTTGCTTTTTGGCACAACAAATTCAAGAATATAGGAATTCTCATCCTCACCCTTTGACTCCCCCATTGGCTCAGATGGCTCGATTACTATCTTACTATCTAAACACAATATGAAAAAATAATTGGAAAGAGGTCTAATGCGCCTTAACTCATGAAACTTACTACTATTTGCATCCCCATATTCACATACACTCAAGTCTCCCAAAGTAATGTTATCTACTCTCTCATAGGACTCTAGAGTACTCTTCTCAATATTGGCATCTTCAAGAAAAATATGGTCTAATGATTGGTATTCTCGTTTTAGCTCCTCAATTTGGTCTACAAGATTTTTTTCATCTTCACACAACTCATCATTAAATTGTTGGGCATTTCACGCATCAACTTTTGCACTCAAATCTACATCCAAGTTCTGAAAAGCCAAGACAAACTTGTCAATTTCATGTGCAAGATCAACTCTCTCCTTAGACCAATCATTCACCAATGTTGTTAAAAGACAACGCCGTTCCGTATATTTGCTTAATCGAGAATATCCGTCCCAATACCAACCCTTACTCCCATATTCAAATTCAGACCTCCTAGAGTTCAGGGCATGACAAGACCAAAAAGATGGGCCATAACAGTCTTCCGTCAATCAAGCGTCTTCATCAATAACCTTACCTCCGGATACTTCATCCCTAGATGTCATGTTGAGAGAACTAGAAACACACTAAGAGAAAAGTTAAATAGTTATAAAATTAAAAATATTTACAAAAAGAAAAATATATATAAAGTTATAAGTAAAAGCCTAATCTAGAAAAATAGCTAATTCTAAGTCCCGGCAACGGCGCCAAAAACTTGTTGCGGCCAAACGCACACGCAAGTATACGCGATCGTCAAGTAATAAAGTGACTAAAAGTCGGATGTCGAACCCACGAGGACTTGTGATTAACTATTAACTAAATTAGACTATCCTAATTATCTAAACAAGAATTAAACCTAAAAATATTTGATTCTAAACTAATTAAATAAAAAAATATAAATAATGAACTTTGAACAGAGAAAGAGCAGATTTTTATGATATCAATGTAATGAAAACGATCTAGGGTTATGGGCTATCTAACAATCCTATTGTATTCTTCAATTGAATTGACCGACTAATTTATCTAGCTTATTGGTTGACAGGGTTAATATTGCTCATAAGAATCTGTCGAGTTCTTACTCGCCTATTCAAGCTAACCTAACGCCTATATGTCTATGGAGTTAGAATCAACAAGAACGCATTTATAATTCCTGTAAATCAACCAAGCAAGGCAATTAGGTATATGTCTATCCTAACCACGAATCCGTTCCCCGATGCCCGAGTTCAAGAACTTGCCCTACTCAATCCTATATGCAATATAGAATTCCCACTTTCGAGTTCAATTCTAGATTCGTAGATAGTATTTAATTGGTGATCAAGCAATTAAATAATTAAGCGCAAGATTGAATAAATAAACCAATATGATAAATCAAGAAGGCAAAATCAATATCCGAATAACAATAGTCATGAAAGAACCACAACCCTAGAACGTGAAGTTTAGCTCCACATAGACATGGTAGCCAAACAACAAATCATACAAAGAAACATAAAAAATACTAAGTTTGGTGAGAGAAAGATGGAACTTGATGAATTTCGGCCTCCAAGGTGGCTTTGTGCTTGTGTTTTTTTCTCTCAAAACATCCTCTTCCTTTTAAAATAGGTTTAGGTTGGCTTTTATATGAGTTGGGGGCATCTAGGGGTTGAAATAACCGAGTCCTAGTCAAAAAAGGACACTTTCCCATCTTGAGCGTCCAGGTGAGCGTGGGGCACTGGCCCTGGCGCTCAAATATTTTGGCTGCTGTAAATTGTGCCACAGCCAGCGCCCTACGCTGGCTGTGGCCCTCGAATTTCACTTTTTGCCTTTTCCTCACAATTTTTGCTCCAATTCGCGCCATTTCGTCCCAAATTGCATCCGAATGATTCTTACACATAGAAATACCACAATTTAGCACAAATTATTATATTATACATCTCAAATCTTCGAGACATGAGCAAAATGTGAGGCAAGATACAATTATCAGTTAGCATAACCAACAAGATTAAAGTTGTCACCTGAAGGGTAATACAAAACCATGTCCTTTGTTCCCTTAAGATATCTCAGAATCCTTTTAGCAGCTTTTAGATGAGATTCCTTGGGATTTGATTGACACCTTGCACATAAACCCACACTGAATGCAATATCTGGCCTGCTGGCAGTGAGGTAGAGGAGTGATCCAATTATGCCTCGATACATTGTTTGATTTACAGGATAGCCAGATTCATCCATGTTTAGCTTGGCGGTAGTGGCAATGGGGGTGTCAATCACCTTTGACGCTTTCATATCAAACCTCTTCAAAAGTTCCTTGATATATTTCTGCTGACTCATACAAGTTCCCTTCGTGGACTGCTTCACTTGAAGACCCAAGAAAAAGTTTAGCTCCCCCATCATGCTCATCTCAAACTCACTTCCCATGAGTTTTGCAAATTCCTCACAAAATGAGTCAGATGTCGCCCCAAAGATAATATCATCAACATATCTGAACAATGAGCAGGTTCCTTCCTCGTTTCTTCAGAAACACAGTATTGTCAATTTTTCCTCTTGTAAAGCCATTTTCTAAGAGAAACCTTGACAACCTTTCATACCAAGCTCGATGAGCCTGTTTCAAACCATATAGTGCCTTGTCCAATTTGAACACATATTCAGGATGTTTATGACATTCAAAACCTGGAGGTTGCTTAACATAGACTTCTTCCTTTAGAAAATCATTCAAAAATGCACTTTTGACATCCATTTGGAACAAGGTGAATTCCATATGAGATGCAAAGGCAATGAGAATTCTGATGGTTTCCATACGAGCAACTGGAGCGAAAGTCTCATCATAATCAATCCCTTCCTCCTGATTGTAACCTTGGACAACTAGCCTTGCCTTGTTCCTTATAGTGTTTCCATGCTCATCAAGCTTGTTCCTGAATACCCACCTGGTTCCTATGATGGTTCTATCTGAGGGTCTAGGTACCAGGTGCCATACTTTGTTCCTTTCAAATTGATGCAGCTCCTCCTGCATAGCTGTGATCCAGTCTGCATCCTTCAAGGCTTCCTTAATATTTTTGGGTTCTCTTTGGGAGAGGAAGGCTGAGAAGGAAAGTGAATTTCTTGCTTTTGATCTAGTTTGGACTCCAGAATCAAGGGGGTTATTATATTATCGAAAGGATGAGAGCTTTTATGTTCCCAATTTGGAACTTGAATCTCATTAGTAGAGGAACTAGGTAATCTTGAATGATTCCCTTGAATTCCTCTTTCTGCTGCCTGTGGGGTACTTTGAACTGCATCAACTACTCTTTCTTCAGCTTCAGTGGTTGTGATGTGTATACCTGGTTCCTCTTGAATTGGAGAGGAATAGGTTGCATTGTCTTCATTTGTCTCCTTCATTTGACTCATCATATTTTCCTTTCCATTTGCCATGTCAATGATCTCTCCTGGAACCAGCAGTGGCTCACTGTCTTCATCTTCCTTGTTGCTCTTCTCACCAGATGGAAGTGTCTCGTTGAAGATTACATGAACACTTTCTTCCACACACTGAGTCCTTTTATTGTAAACCTTGTAAGCTTTGCTTTGAGAGGAATACCCCAAAAGAATTCCTTCATCACTTTTGGCGTCAAATTTTCCAAGCTGATCCTTTCCATTGTTGAGAACATAGCATGTACACCCAAATGTTCTTAGGTGAGTCAGCTTGGGATTCCTTCCATTAAGCAGTTCATAGGGAGTTTTGTTCAGGAAGGATCTGATCATGCACCTGTTCACCAAGTAGCAGACTATATTTATGGCTTCTGCCTAGAAGTTTTTGGCTATCCCACTATCAATAAGCATTGTTCTAGCCATATTTTCAAGGGTTCTGTTCTTCCTTTCTACAACTCCATTTTGCTGTGGAGTTATTGGAGTGGAGAAGTTGTGGGTGATGCCATTTTCACTACATAATTCATCAAACTTAGCATTGTCAAATTCTGTTCCATGTTTGGATCTGATGCAAGCCACTTTTGAATCCATCTTCACTTGGATTTTCTTGACAAAAGCTACAAACACTTCGAAGGTCTCATCCTTGATTATGAGAAACAGTGTCCAAGTGAATCTTGAGTAGTCATCTACTATCACAAAAATATATCTTTTTCCTCCTCTGCTTGGCACTCTCACAGGGCCACATAGATCCATATGAAGGAGTTCAAGTGGCTTTTATGTGCTGGCATCCTTCTTTGGCTTGAATGAGGATTTCACATGCTTTCCTCTAGCACATGCATCACACACTCTGTGCTCCTTGAATTTTGAATTTGGCAATCCACGAACAAAGTCCTTCTGTATCAGCTTGTTAAGAGGAGAGAAGCTTGCATGTCCCAGCCTTCTGTGCCATAACTCTGCATCATCATCAACTGCTTTCAAGCAGCTCATATCACCACTGTGTAGGGACTCGAAATCAGCAACATAGATGTTCTTGTATCTTTTGGCCACTAGTACCACTTCACCAGTTACCAGATTAGTAACTGTGCATACCTCTGACAAGAACTCCACCTTGTTTCCTTTATCACAGATTTGAGAAACACTCAAGAGACTATACTTCAGACCATTTATATAGTACACGTTCTCAATTGAGTGTGAGAGAGACTTTCCAACTTTTCCAACACCAAGAATGTACTCCTTTTCCCATTTCCAAAGGATACATACCCTCCTTGCAGGGCTTTTAGTGAAAGGAAGTCCATGGTATTCCCAGTCATATGCTTAGAGCATCCACTATCCATAATCTATTGTTGAATGCTTCCTTTCACTGTTTCCTGCACAGATAAATCAAGGGTTAGATTTAGGAACCCAAATAAGTTTAGGTCCCTTGTAATGAGAAAAGGGATGAATGAGAGCTTTTCTAGTCCATGCAGGCAACATGCATTTTTTGTGAGTGGCACCTGGTCCTCTTCCAGTAGTTACTTTTTTAGCAAAAACTTTATTTTTCTGAACAGACTGGACTCTAGCTTGGCAATTTTCCTTGAAATGCCCATTGTTCCCACAGTGGGTACAAAGCTAGTTATCAGGTACATTGACGTACTTGCTATGAGGGTTATAGGGAACTTTCTCCCTTTGGAACCCTATTCCCTGCCTGTTTCCACCATTATTAAAGTACATGTCAGTAATAACATCTAAGGACCAGGTCCGCTTAAGAGATTTCTCAAGATCATTTTTTTTACTTTTTCCAATTCTGCTTGAAGCTGCCTATTTTTCTCAAGCTTAACACACAGACTAGTTTTCACATTATTCAGCTCATTTTCAAGTTAATGTGTGCCTCACTAGCTACTTCCTTCCCCTTTTCAGAATTTCCAGGCCTACATTCTGCTTTAAGTCCCTCAATTGTTTCCTCTAGGTCTATGATTACCACTAAGAGATCATCTCTTTCTTGCTCAGTAATGGAAACTTTCTCCACTAAGGCACTCTTTTCTCTACTAAAGTTCTCTGTGGTTTCTTTCAAGTCAACTACAACTACCATTAAATCATCCCTTTCATGTTCTACACTAGCAATATTTTCTGTTAGATACTCCTTCTCATTTTTCAGATTTTCTATAGTTTCCTTCAGGTCAACAACACAAACCACCAATTCATTTCTAGTGTGCTTAGCATCTCCCAACTCTATGGTCAAGGCATCCTTATCACTCATAAGGCTATGATATGCATCAATCAAGACATTAGCTAATGACATGAGTTTCTTGGGAGAGTAGGATTTCAGATTCCTCTGAACATCCATAAAGTTTACCTCATCATTGTCATCATCTTCATCATCGTCTGACTGAGCCATCAAAGCAAATATTGAGTCATATTCATTTGCTTTATTTTTCAACTGCCATCATGGAACTATCACCTGCATCATTTTCTTCTTCTGATTCATTGGAGGAGTCTCCCCATGCTGCAAGAGCTTTCTTCACAACATTGTCGGCTGCGTTTTTTTCTTTTGAAGCGTTTGTCAGGAACCGGGTTCCTCTTGGCTACTTTATCAGAGTTGTGCTTGAAATATTCTTGCTTCAGAAGAGGACAGTCCTTGATGAAATACCCTGTCTTTCCACACTTATGACAGGGGTCATAATTCTTTGGTTTGCTGGAACTGCCTCTCTTTAGTATGCCTCCATTCCTTCGAACCATTTTCTGAAACCTTCTGGTAAGGTATGCCATATCGCTATCCTTCTCACTCGAATCGTTGTTTTTAGCTTTGAGTACCAGGTTCTTCTCCTTCTTTGGTTCTCTTTTTCACTGTCCTTCTTTCTCTTCATCTCATAGGTCTTTAGATTTCCAACTAGATCGTCCATAGTCAGTGTTTGCAGATCCTTGGCTTCAGTAATGGCATTCACTTTTCTCTCCCAGGAGATGGGCAGAACGCTAAGAATTTTCCTCACAAGCTTGTTCCTTGGGAAGATTTCACCAAGCGAGTGTATCTCATTTATGATAGACGTGAATCATGTGTGCATATCTTGAATAGATTCATCATCCTTCATTCTAAAAAGCTCATACTCTGTGGTGAGCATGTCAATCTTTGACTGTTTTACTTGAGTGGTTCCTTCATGTGCTGTTTGTAAAGCTTCCCATATCTCATTGGCGGATTGACAGGCTGATATCCTGTTGTATTCATCAGGTCCTATGCCACATACCAAAATCTTCTTGGCGCGAAAGTTTTTCTCTACTACTTTCTTGTTTGCGTCGTTGTATTCTTTCCTATTTTTTGGCATTGTTACATCAGGGTCTCCGGCCTTCTTTGTTGGGACATATGGACCATCACAAATAACATCCCATAACTCGGAATCTTCTGCCATTATAAAGTCGTGCATTTTAGTTTTCCACCAGCCATAGTATTGGTCGTTCAATCTCGGGGGTCTATAGGTTTATTGTCCTTCCTCGAAGTTTGGTGGAGCAACCATGATGATGATCCTTTTTAGGTGTTAACCTTTAAGAAAGAACCCACTCTAATACCACTTGATAGAATGTATGAGTCCACCAAACTGTATAGAGACCTGGTCCTATACCAGTTTCCACAGAAATAGCTAATGAACCAGTAAGTAAATGACACGAGAGATTTTTACGTGAAAAAATCCCTGCTCAAGGGGATAAAAAATCACGACCTACAATGGTAGGATTTTAACTTCACTACTGAGCAATCTTTAGATTACAACCTATTGCAACCTAGGAATTAAACTCTTAATCCCTCACTAACTTGCACTACCCCTATTACAAGTCACTTTGCAATACACCTATTACAAAGACTTCAACTCATGACTAACTATAGTCATGACACAAACACTAAGGGTTTATGGTTTTTCAAGGTTCCTAATTAAAGCTTCTAAATAAGCAAAGTAGGAATTACAATGAAGAACAAATACAAAGTTACAACTCAACTAAGGACATACAAAAGACTTGTTGTAGGAACTGGTCCGTAGTAGTGTTGTACTTTGTTCTTGATGCACTTGTGACTTCAATACTTGATTATCAGATCTGGAGTACTTGAATCAATTCACAAAGTGTTCAAGTGATGTTTTGTTGTAATGCTTCTTGTTAATATCCTTTGAATGACAGTACTTGGATGATGTAAACACTTAGTTGGTAAAAAGCCCTTCCCAATAGGAAGTGACTGCTGCACTGTTTCTGCACTATAGCATGTACAATGCAGGCAGTCATTTTTCAACTGTAGAGTTGACTTCGTACTGCTGTCAGGGAAGCTCCAAGGGATCAGATCCCTGAGTTGGTTCTTTTCTATCTGAAGTCATACAACTCACATTAGCTTAAGTCCATTGATGGATAAATATACCAAGTGTGCATCACGTCCTTTATCTGGTTCTTGACAATAAGTTTGTTAGATCATAAAAATATAAATCTAAGATACTTTAAACCTATCAAAAGTTATCCTAAATTTGTATATTACCTGCTATAACTATCGTTTTCTTACAATTCATATACAATCCATTATTAGTACCTTAAATTAGGGGATTCAGTTATACTATTTTTTTTTTCTCCTCTTCTCGTTCCATATTCTCTACCGCTTCTCTCTCTACCCAAAACTCTTTTAATTGAGTGCCAAACTCGGTACTATACTAAATTTTAAATCACCATTCTCCCTACAATAAGATAATAACCATTATGTCCAATATTCCTACTGCTTGAATATCACATATGATAAAATTTTGTAATCTTTTCAGTGTTGCCTATTGGAATTTAAGTAAAATGTTCAACGCTTCCACCTCCAACAACAAAAATGGAAAATCAACGATGACACTTTTAATGTGAAACTCGAAATTTCTTCACCTAAATTATTCAGTTCCCATCAATATTCAAGTTTTTCAGTTCAAACAAACATGAATCAGTGCACATGAGTGGATTTAGAATTTATTCTCTACTTTTCTTTCTTTAACAAATCGAGTGAGAAAATAATATTGCATGGTACAACAACATACGAAATAAAAATAAATTTCGTACAAATTTGATACATCTACAACAACATACAAACTAAAAACAAATTTTATACACCTAATATATAGTATATATACAACTTATTTATAACTTATCTATAACTTTCATACATTATTTTTACCCAATTAAATGCAACTACAATATCATACAACTTAAGTATAATTTTCATATAAATTTTATACAATATGCCTTTCGTATGTATTTTGTATATATTTTGTATGTCGTGTGTTCTTCTTCTTCTCTGAAATTCCAATCAAAACTTTCTCTCTTAATACAATTTTGATACATATCAACGAGTTCATTTAAAACGATAATATTTATAATTTAAATACAAATTTTATACAATCATTCCTACAGTATACAACTAATTTTTAACTTTCATACAACATTCAAATAAACAAATATAATTACAATAGAATACAACTTAAATACAATTTACATACAACTATAATATAATTTTGTATCTGTATTGTATGTCATGTATTCTCTTTTTTTTTCCGACTTTCAATATGAAATTCAGCCAAATTCAACTCTAATCTTCACCAAACATCCTCAAAATTAATATATAATCTCCAAAGAATATTCCCAAATGATATCGTTTGCAACAAGAACCAATCCAAACAAATAATATTTTTTTTAAAATCCGAATTCGAATTCAAATCTTCAAAAGTTTTTTTAATGACACACANTATTTTTTTTGTTGTTGTTTGTGCTTCTTTCTTGACAAGAGCTGCATGCTGTAGAAGCCGTTTCTGTGAAAACTCTGCAATGCAAAGCTGATGATCTGAGGTTGAATTTGTCTTTTAGCAAAATCTTGGATGCAGTTGAATAGTTTATTGGCATTATATTAAAAGACAAACTAAATCATACACAAGTTTAATGAGGGTTTCAAAGGCATCAAGCCCGTTTTCTCCTTTCCTCACAACCATTTCAGCATCTTCTCTTCATCTTCATCTATACAATCTTTTAGTACAACTGAGGAGAGGGAAGGTATATATGTAGGTCATATATAGGTGACACATATTTGGCTACACAATGAACATCTAGATTGAATCAGCACGACAATCTTTCATGTGTAGTGGTAGATATATATAGCTTATTATAACATGTTCATATATGTATAAACACTAAAAATTTTAACGTACAGATATTATATTTTGAAAAGTATAATATAGAACTTTAAAAGTTGAAGTTAAAATTAGGACACTCTTACTAAATCAGATTTATCGTTTGGATACGCTCCCTGTGAAATGAGATAGAGACTCAATTATCGTGATGGAAGGATCAAGTTCTAAATGTCGTGATTTCCTACTTTTGTTTTCTTCAGTTCTAGGGAATGAATATTAGTATAACTACCATTTGAACTATAATAAAATTGTAGTAGCAACTCATTGGTATCTTGTTATTTGTAGGTGTGAAGTTGGATTAACACAAGATTCTCTTCTGATTTTCTCTAGTCGGGCCTTCTCAAACCCCAAAATATGCAAAAAAAAATAATAAGTTGTAACAATCATTTATCGCACAATTAGTGAGACTTGCTCTAGTGGCAAGGTACATTTACTGGCACTCCTGGATTGGAGATTTGAGTCAAATAAAAACACATAAAAAGGAAGAGTAAGGAAAAAAAAAAGGAATAGAAAAATTAATTGATGGACGAAAAAGAAGAAAGAGGAATTTACATGTAATACAATTTATTTAGAAGTTAATTAAATAAGTTACAACTACTTTGAGAAAATTATATAAAATATAATTTATTTTAAAATCTACAACTTTTCATATCGCTAAAATCTCTCTCTCTTGAGATTCTCTCACCTAAAACGTATCCTAATATCTCTCTCATGAGATTCTCTCTCACCTAAAATATATTTATCGGTATTAATTTTTTCCCAATTTCTCCATTAAAAAGATTCAAGTATATCCTATTGTCCCTAACTTCTTTCCTCCCTTTTACGTATATATAAGTAGTCCCTGAACATATAGAACACAATATCTCAACCCCTGTCCTTCACCCCCTACAAAATTCTTATACCCTTCTTCATACTCAAATATAGTATATTTCTTAACACCTAACTTAGACTTCTCCGTACAATTAGTATATATTATGCAGTACTAATATACAGTAAGATACAATATATTATATATTTTATTTTATGTACAAGATATTATATATTTATATATTTATATATGTATATATAGTATAATATAAATTAAAGGTAGACAGTAATAAAATTATTCTATGTTGGATTTTAAAGTGTTATTAATGTTTTTATATTTTATAATTACATATAATATATGATATATATGTATTACATATTGTATATTATATATTATATAATGTATAATTATTAAACCTAATAACTCATTATATTTAATTTTTTGAAGATTGATTTTCTCTGATTAAAATGATATCGAAGGTGATGAATTGACTGAAAGAAAATATTCCTGGTAAGTATACCAAAGTGGAGAATGAAATTGAAATAACGAAAGAATCTCAAGATGGAGAATCTATTTAATGGAGGATGCAACTTATTTTCATGGAGGATGGCATCATAGTTATAAGATATAGTACTAGTATTAGAACCCGCGCGATGTACGGATAATATTAAAAAATATATTATGATCTTAGAGCACATTCGATCGTATTGTTTAACCAAATTTTAATTGCTATGTTAATTTTTAATGCACTGTGCGAAATAATCTCTATGAAACAAAGGATA